GGTTACCATGTTTACTGCACATAGACTTAAACAAATGTACGGTTTACACTCGACTCAGCCAGCGGTGAAGTCAATTTATCTGCATGCGGCTTGTGGTCATCAGATCTATACAAAACAACTCGGCCGCTCTCTTCCTCTTTCTCTCTCTCTCTCTCTCGCCCAATGAATAACAGAAATAAAAATAGGCCACTTATTCATGGATGACTGATCATTAAGGCGTTTATGTTACGGGGAGCGGAGGAAATCACCTGGCTGCAGTTGTTGTGTTAAGGGAGGCCACTATTGCTTCTCTGTAGCAATCAGCAGTCCTATATGAACTGGAGAGTGTTATATCAGTTTAGTCATCTCCAAAATTATTTTACGGTTTAAAACCCAGTTATCAAATGCATATGCATTATGTCGGTACATTACGTCCTTTCAATCATTGTAAACGATTTGACCGAAAAACAATATTATATTTGACAATTATAACCAAAAAATGAACAAGACATGCTTTAGCATTGTCAAAGCAATAGCGGTCATTACTTTCATTTTATGTATGGTTTGCATACAGTTATAGTTAACATTAAAAACACCTTCTTTGCCACACTTGTGTAAATTTCATACGTAACAAAATGAAGAATTTTATTTCATCTCGATACACCATTCACGTTTTATAAGTTACATTACAGATATGAATTAGACATTATAATTTCACGTGAAATATTTATTTATTTATTTATTTATCAAAATCAAAACATCAAACAAACAAAAAATTCACATACCGGTTATAAAAACGAAATTGCGAGCATTAAAAGATTCTTCTTTCCAAATTAGACACAAAATTATCTAAACGACGAATGTGGTCCATAAATGTCGGTGGTCTATTATTTGAAGTTCTCTGGCGATTATAATCGTCCCTAGCGTTTATTTTACACCCAGTTCTGTCACAGTCTGTCCCCGGGGCAGGGGCAGGCTCACGAGGGGGAGGTCCACATGACGCAGAACACACGCCATTACAACAGACGGAGCTGAAGCACGCACGGGAATTTCCTTCAAACCCAGTGCAATTGCCCCCTTGCTGGATCTGAGACACACAGCTGTAGGACCTCGTGTCGCAGAATAGATAGGAGGAGCCACAGTCCAGAGAGTTTGCCGAACACGTGGGTCTCCTGGCACATCTGTAATATCTCTGTGTGTAGATATTGCGTAGACCGTCGCTGTTTCGTAGAGGAGGACCAAACGGTAACATCGGGGCGTTGGCACGTGCGTACGGGGCCAGCTCCTGGTCAGAAGCTAGTTCACTGTCCAGAGTGACGTAATCAGTTTCAGGGTCGGCTTGCTGGTAGTTCTGTCTCCATTCCTCCCATAGACAATCTATAAACGAATGATAAATCCAGAAGATGGGATCAAATGAGGCCGACAACAATATAGCGTGGTGTCCGCCGGTAAACACGTGTGGCCCGGCATGAACTGCCTCCAGCAGTGGGTCCACCGCCCACGTCAGCTCCCTAAAACGCCGAGCTCGGAAGATTTCCTGAACGATATCATTCGGGAAGAAGCCGCCGCCCTGTGTGCCCAAGGTCCGATACAAGATGTCGCCATAGTTGAAGTTCTCTCCTCTCTCTACACCGGTGTCAGCCACCCACTGCACCACTTCCGGTGGGATCCGCCAGTTCCTGAAGGGGCCTGAAGTGACCGGACCGACACTGGAGCCGTAGTAGTAGTCGGTCCAGAGGATGGAATCCCGACCCTCGGGCAGAGGGGCGTCTAGTGTCACATCCCAGTAAGGAATGGCAATGCTACAATCAATTTGCCGCAGAGCGTTCTCAAATCTGAAATTGTAGACATAGATATGAACAAATTGTAGACATAGATATGAATAAATTGTAGACAAATATATAAATATATTGTAGACATAGATTTGTATCATTGCAGTTTAAGATATACAAAGCGTCATGAGGGTGTGGCTCAGCACCAAAATGTCATGACATGCTAATAAGTAAAGCGAACAATTTAACACTCCTTACCTGCTTGAAGTCAAAGTAGAAAAAGAAATTTTATAATAATTTATTAATTTATGCATTATACGGCAGACACTTGTTATCAGTGTAAAATTAACGAAGGACTGCACCCTTATAGGGTCTGTCGTGAACCGTTGCCCTGTCACCAGAGTGCCCCACTTACCGGAAGAGGTATTCTCTGTGCCAGGGTAAAAACATCGCTGTAAAGTGTGCCTGTGGTGCAGTGGTGGCATTGTGGATTATAGCAAACTCATCGTAAGCGTTGCTCTGTCCCTGTGGGGTGCGCTTCAGTTGAATAACGGCGTTCACAAAACGTCGCCACTCGGCGTCTGTCAGCGTTCGTACCTCTTTCCTAACCACGGGGCTGCGACAGACTTGGGGCGTCTGGGAGTAAACAGGGAGGAGGTTTTCCCCTACACCTCCCCTAACACTGGACTGGATACCGACCCCAGAAAAACTATGAGTTGTAATGGCTTCTGAAGTCCACGCCCTGCACAGGGTAGTGACACGGTTGGAGAACGCTCTGGGGAAGAACTGAGCCAGTCTGTTAGCGATGTTACACAGTGCCTGGCCATCGGCTGTGGGGGCTGTCATTAAGACCAAGAGACTTAACACGAGACTCCGTGAAGCCATCGCCGTGCTGGAACAGGTGACAAACATCAACAAAGCAAGGGAATCAGGAAATTGTCCCCTATATATACACCTCACTACAGCGCGTGTGAAGAGATCATTTCACCTGCTGCGACGTTCGTGTGAAAAGAAATCATCATTTACTACAAGGAAAAGGAGCAACATTCTTAAAGAGGATTCTTCACCTCGTGGGCGGCACACGAGTTGATTAACGTGTGCGTGTAAAACACTTGTTTGATTATTTGAACAGCTTGGACATGTCAATGGACATGATAATTGAAATGATATTGAGGAAGTACAAGAGGACAAATAGTAGAGATGAGCAATCGTGGAAGTTAACGAAAATAATGATGGAAGTATTTCCTTGACTGGATATGCTAATACAAGAAAGGAAATATACCCGATAACTGGTGAAAATATACACTGATGTGAAAAAATACTCTGTTTTTTTGGAAAAAGTCCACTAATGTTAACTGAGTCCGTTTTGTTTTGGAATTCGTACATATATCAAAACAAATAACGTGAAATGTTTAGCTCACCGATTATACTCGTCTGTTGTCGTAATTTCTTGCTATCATTTCATATTTGATGTACGTTTAGACCATCTGACGACTTAATTAAATATCTATAACAATCGATGTCGTGGTTAACACACGTACATGTGTGTAAAGAGATGCTTGAACAGCGAATTTGTAATTACTGGAGTCTCCCTGAACGTCGCTTGGTGTCACCAAAACTCGCCTTAATACTTTAGCCTCCAAATTTTTCTTCCTCCCATTTATAAATTGAATTTGCAGAATAAACACCAACAAAAAACGACGTACTATTTGATGGTGAACCTGTAGACCTAACTATAGCGTGCAGCGCTTTCATCATTAAACGAATATTTATTATTATTCAGAACAGCAAGCTATTAAGGTATGGGCAGAGACAAACACAATTTTACTTTAATACGCGCAAAAGATTTATATCTCCTAACAACCGTTTTAGCATTTTTGAAAAAAAAATCAACAAAGTGACCACAAAAAGACATTAGCCATCAGCAGGCAGGTCGGAGCATGAGGAACTATCAGCCACAATGAACACAATGGTGACAGTGTTTAGCAGTGCTAAGCTGCTTACCGTGGATGGTTTTGATTGTTAAAAAACGTGAATACTTACGTAACCTACCTAAACTTAAAGCTAAAGTATACCTTGTCAAGGTCAGTCCCGAATCTCGTAATAAAGTTCGACTTAAGTATTGTATGAACAATGCACTTGGGCTAATCGTCGCTTTTTTTTCCACTGACAAAACTGCATATATTGATATAACACGTGGTCTTTCTGTCAGTACATGTTGGTATGATTCACGAACCTTTCCTACCGCTGAAACCACTGAGGATGCCAATATCGGTCCAAAATCGGACTACATGGTAATGAGAAATGCTGCAGCGCGCCAACAATGATTTTTAAATGTTATTGACTTTTTGTACCCTAATTTTACCACTGTGCAAGACCGTCAACTTGACGACAAAAGCCTATATATGAAACATACTCAAGGCACGCTAGCGGGCAATGAAGCCCTGGGGCTGGTTCAGGAGGGTCGCCTGTTCAAGAGGGTCGCATGTCCAAGGTGGTCCCCTGTTCAAAACGGTCGCCTATACAAGAGGGTCGTCTGTTCAAGAGGGTCACCTGTCCAAAAGGGTAACCTGTCTAAGAGGGTTGCCTGTTCAAGAGGGTCCCCTGTTTTTCACTGTTACGTTCTCTACGTATTTCTTATCTGTTGTCAAACCGCTGGAATGCGACTCGTTATCTTAACACGCCATGAAAACCACCACAATATACTGTACAACAAAGGAAGTAAACAGCGACCAGGAGATTGATTGAGGAGAGGACCACAGTCTGGAAGCCATTAAACTGGGCTGGTGTGAACTGTTAGTTCCTGATATTGTGGTGTATTATAGCTATTTTGTTGAAGAGGTTTACTTGCACGCGCCACAGATCATGTTTGACATGCAATGTCATCACAATAAATGTCACAGCTATGTGACAATTGTCACGCGCTCTAGCACCTTTGTACTGACAGGGCAGACGCGTGACGCTGATGTTCTTAATGCTGTTGTTTAAACGAAAGTCAAAATATTTTGCTTTTTATGTCTCTTTTTCAGTCCTCACTCATGTTCGTGTGTATTTCTCAGGCAAACATGATTCTGCCTTTTTTCCACTCAGATTTCCTATCGTGCCACCAGGAGATCAAGCAACGCAATGGACGTGTAGAGCACAGACGTACGGGTCTTCAGGAAGGGGGGTGGAGTGAGGGGTGAGGATGGGGGTAAATTCTTGCTGTGTGGGTGTCATGAACAACGCACATGAATCACGTGCACTGCACGCGATTTGATTTAAGTTAAATTCCATCTATAGACAGGGCGTCGAAGTTCTTGGGATTTCTAAGGCATCGTCTCTAAGAAAAAATGTTTTCCTTGAAATTCTTTCAACTGTCCAATGAAGGGGAGAGCTCTCTACTCAAGACTTGGTATTTTGTCATTCCACATTGTGGCATGTCTGTCAGTAACAACGACACTGTCAACTATCGCAGCTAGTTTTTATTACATTTCTGATATGTACCTGTAACAAACTCCCTGTACTTGCCTTAATACACACGGTCATTGCAATAACCCGAGTGTTTCATTTACAAAAACATAAATTGAATGTGTAAGGGTGGAATTTTACGACTTAGCATTNAACACAATTTTACTTTAATACGCGCAAAAGATTTATATCTCCTAACAACCGTTTTAGCATTTTTGAAAAAAAAATCAACAAAGTGACCACAAAAAGACATTAGCCATCAGCAGGCAGGTCGGAGCATGAGGAACTATCAGCCACAATGAACACAATGGTGACAGTGTTTAGCAGTGCTAAGCTGCTTACCGTGGATGGTTTTGATTGTTAAAAAACGTGAATACTTACGTAACCTACCTAAACTTAAAGCTAAAGTATACCTTGTCAAGGTCAGTCCCGAATCTCGTAATAAAGTTCGACTTAAGTATTGTATGAACAATGCACTTGGGCTAATCGTCGCTTTTTTTTCCACTGACAAAACTGCATATATTGATATAACACGTGGTCTTTCTGTCAGTACATGTTGGTATGATTCACGAACCTTTCCTACCGCTGAAACCACTGAGGATGCCAATATCGGTCCAAAATCGGACTACATGGTAATGAGAAATGCTGCAGCGCGCCAACAATGATTTTTAAATGTTATTGACTTTTTGTACCCTAATTTTACCACTGTGCAAGACCGTCAACTTGACGACAAAAGCCTATATATGAAACATACTCAAGGCACGCTAGCGGGCAATGAAGCCCTGGGGCTGGTTCAGGAGGGTCGCCTGTTCAAGAGGGTCGCATGTCCAAGGTGGTCCCCTGTTCAAAACGGTCGCCTATACAAGAGGGTCGTCTGTTCAAGAGGGTCACCTGTCCAAAAGGGTAACCTGTCTAAGAGGGTTGCCTGTTCAAGAGGGTCCCCTGTTTTTCACTGTTACGTTCTCTACGTATTTCTTATCTGTTGTCAAACCGCTGGAATGCGACTCGTTATCTTAACACGCCATGAAAACCACCACAATATACTGTACAACAAAGGAAGTAAACAGCGACCAGGAGATTGATTGAGGAGAGGACCACAGTCTGGAAGCCATTAAACTGGGCTGGTGTGAACTGTTAGTTCCTGATATTGTGGTGTATTATAGCTATTTTGTTGAAGAGGTTTACTTGCACGCGCCACAGATCATGTTTGACATGCAATGTCATCACAATAAATGTCACAGCTATGTGACAATTGTCACGCGCTCTAGCACCTTTGTACTGACAGGGCAGACGCGTGACGCTGATGTTCTTAATGCTGTTGTTTAAACGAAAGTCAAAATATTTTGCTTTTTATGTCTCTTTTTCAGTCCTCACTCATGTTCGTGTGTATTTCTCAGGCAAACATGATTCTGCCTTTTTTCCACTCAGATTTCCTATCGTGCCACCAGGAGATCAAGCAACGCAATGGACGTGTAGAGCACAGACGTACGGGTCTTCAGGAAGGGGGGTGGAGTGAGGGGTGAGGATGGGGGTAAATTCTTGCTGTGTGGGTGTCATGAACAACGCACATGAATCACGTGCACTGCACGCGATTTGATTTAAGTTAAATTCCATCTATAGACAGGGCGTCGAAGTTCTTGGGATTTCTAAGGCATCGTCTCTAAGAAAAAATGTTTTCCTTGAAATTCTTTCAACTGTCCAATGAAGGGGAGAGCTCTCTACTCAAGACTTGGTATTTTGTCATTCCACATTGTGGCATGTCTGTCAGTAACAACGACACTGTCAACTATCGCAGCTAGTTTTTATTACATTTCTGATATGTACCTGTAACAAACTCCCTGTACTTGCCTTAATACACACGGTCATTGCAATAACCCGAGTGTTTCATTTACAAAAACATAAATTGAATGTGTAAGGGTGGAATTTTACGACTTAGCATTGACTCATTACATATCCAATGGTCCTATTCTTAACCAAGCACAACCGAGTTCGGTTGGAAACCGATAGGTCGCACCTTCATTTCAGAGGCTTTCAGAGAATGGTGAAATCCCTTAAAGCCATGCCAAATGACGCCGTCCGCACCGGGAGCGTTGTCACTGAGAAGATACAAACCATTCAGGTTAGTACCGTGACAGTTGTCGTACCACCATGCTCCTTTGTACTGCACCGCACATTCCCAGAATATTCATCATTATCATTGTCTTTTGTGGTGAACGGATCTCCACTATGCTGGGAAAAACTGTCACCTGGAAAATAACGTGCACAGTTTGAGTCCGAACGACAAGTTTAGGTTACAGTTATGTGCGATTGAGACAAACAGTGGGAAGAGGTAAAAAAAGAGAAGAAAATACAGCAAAAATAAATAAAGAAAAATATTGGACTGTAATAATGTTAAGAACCCAAGTGTAAGGGCAATTGATTTTACCCTAAGTAACTCGATGCATATTTACCAATGTTTCCAGAAAAGGCCCCTGCAGTAAGGCGGTATTTCACAGTTTCATCTCCAATGGCGAAGTAGGCGAACTTGGCGTATCCCTTCTCTCTCGTGGCGGCCTCCAGATCCACCCGCAGTTCGTACGGTCCTTGGTTTGATAATAAGTGTATGTACTTGTTTCCTGAAAGAAAACATACAGAAAGCTCGTCACACAAGTAAAAGGTGTTCATAGGCACACAATTAAACTAGAAAGTGTGTCGTCAGTTTATTTTGTATCATTATTATTATATACCACAGACTGATAAATACAGAGTAATTTGCAGTAACATAATTTAAGAAGATTGTCATTATGTTGGTAAGTAAGACACCAAAATAACACACAAAAGTTGGACACGTAATTGTGAGAAAAAGTATTCACCATTTGTGTAAATTTTGTCACTTACCCAGCCAATGTTCCCCGTTCAGATTCCCAAAGCCATATTTATAAGCTGCCCAGTCTCTGTAGAAATCCACGCTGCCGTCCATACGTCTCTGGAACACCTGGAAAAAAAGAACTCGTGAACAGCAAGAAGGGCATACATTTGTAAATCGGATCATAACATCGGTTTATTATATATGTAAGTTTGTTTTAGGTGGTGGTTTAATAAGGTAGGCTGCAGTACAGTATGGAGGATGTAGTACGTTTGAATTGAGATCCATAAAATGGACAAGGAGAGAATACGGACATGTCGCCAAGAGTAAAGTGCTTAATGTGTAAAATCCAGCTGTTAATCTGAACAAAACTGTTACTATTATGTAACCTGGACTATATGTGTTCAACCCCTAGCTTACCGTCCACCCTCCCCCGTCTGTTTTCATGTCACAGTACACGTCCACATCACCTGGACTGTATGTGTCCAACCCCTAGCTTACCGTCCACCCTCCCCCGTCTGTTTTCATGTCACAGTACACGTCCACGTCACCACCGCCATTCAGGAGGTTGATGGTGTACACTCCACTGCGGCGGATACCCCCTTTATACAGCTCAGCACAGTCCTTGCCCTTAGCTGGATCAGATAAAGAGGGAAGCTTTTATCAGTTGGCTTGTTCAAGAATAAATTGAAGGGCTCACTTCATTTTATATTACAAATGTCAAATCAAATGTCAAATCAAACCTGACTTAATTTAAAGCAAAACTCCAATTCTGACATTCTGACATAATATAATATAATATAATATAATATAATATAATATAATATAATATAATATAATATAATATAATATCACAATAGACTTCTGTATACTTTCCACTTTTGGTGTACAATAACTGTCAGTAGTAGTAGTACATTTGTAAAAGAAATGTTTGCCATCTCTCTCTCTCTCTCTCTCTCTCTCTCTCTCTCTCTCTCTCTCTGTGTGTGTGTGTGTGTGTTTGTGTGTGTGTGTGTGACTTTCTCCATTCCTTTTTCAAACTAACCGTACAATATAGACCTAGGGGTTGATTAAACTGGAGTACTAACCGGTCTGCTGGTCTGTGAGGAGTGCTTTCAGTGTAGTGGAGATATCTGTACACTGTTGTTGACTGCAATACTGGACTGGAGCTCCGGGTCTAAAACGAGAGATTCGGTAAATTGACCATTGAGTTTCAAAATGTCCACGGTTGATAAACTAGTGCTGGCATGCGATACGTCCCTTACCGTAAAGAGCTTCATACTCTGTTAACAAAATCCTACAATAAATCTTCAAAGAAGTTATTTCACACATGATATTTATCTGAAACACACATTTTAACAAATCGATTTTAAAGCAACTTTACTCTGTCAATCACACGTTCACTTTTTATAACCATAGACGGCTGTTCAACAGATTATTAAATGAAAGAAAATACAATTCAGCTAACTGTAGAGTCGGTGGAATACTTTCAGATGTCCTTAACAATCCCAAACCGATCACAAGCCAAAAAATAGCCATTATATACTTTGTGAACTAAAGTTAATTGGCACTTCAATGAATGCGTCTGCAAGAAAACGGTGTTATTTAATAGGTCTTGTTGAGAGCCCGCACACATGTCGCTTCATGACTTCTCAAGTAACCCTTGAAAAAGATACGACGTGAAGGTGGCCTTTCCTCGTATGACTCAAAACCTAGCCTTTTATCCAGGCAATACATCCTTAATACATCCTTAATTAGTGATAAGAGTACATGTACACATCCACACGCATACACACCCACACATACCCGCGCGCGCACACACAAACACAAGCAAATATACAAGAGCAGAGAGAGCGCAATACTCAAAACTAAGATTTGACCTCCCCAGTTACGGAAGCACTATTTTACAACTGAAGTTCGGATTTAACTTTTACATGATATAATAAATAACTTAGCATTGTTTTCAATTAACACACAGCAAAGGAAACAGTTGAACATCTATTGTTTTGAAATGCACATTGTGAACTACCCTCCATGACACCTGCTTGGTCAAGGTGAAACTAAACCTTCGTGCAAAATATAATGATTACTCAGCCCACTTGGCAATACCATGTTTTGAAACAGATTTTCACTCGTTTCCTTATAATTCACCGACAATTTGAAATAAAAATAGTCAAACTATCTGCGTGTCACAATGCTGTCAGCACAGCTATCGCAATCAAGATAAGGCTTTGTCGTGTCTTGGCATTGTCCCTGTATATTAACCTGTGTTAATGCTTTGGTGATAAAGGCCTGTTCCTATAATAATTATTATTAGAAATTCACTAACATCTAGCTATAATGAAATAAGCAAAAAAAAAAAAAAAAATTAATAATAAAAAAACATTCCAAACACATCGTTTAAAGTCTATTAAAATTATTTGTCAAATGTTTAGAGCCATTTCCTTCTTTATATACGGCATCTATAGTGTAACATGCATTACAGGTGAATAGAGATGGTTGCTTGTGTGTGTGTGTGTGTGTGTGTGTGTGTGTGTGTGTGTAGGAGGAGACAAAAAGTGATGGCAAATCTAAGTCTTACAGCTGGTTATTATTATTATTATTATTATTATTATTATTATTATTATTATTATTATTATTATTATTTGATTTACTTGCCACTCAAAATAAAAGAACCCTGTGATATGTTAGGAGTTTTCCCCGAGGACGGGATATGTGACGAGAGCCACTGTTGGGTCACCTCCAAGCATGACGTCATTTAGATTTCCACCTGACCGAGTGGCTTGGCTGTGGTGACCTAGATTTCAGCGGGCGGCAGCATCAGCCCCCGAGCTCTGCGAGAGAGAGCATTGATCGTCTTTACGATCAAAACATAGGGGAACACTTTCGCTAAGTTACTATCCGCTCTCACCTGTCTGATCTTCTATCATATCTCAAGGGACGCCGCTGCACAACTATTTAACTTTGACAGAGACAAGCTTGGTAGCGTGGAACGCTGTGACTCCAGCAACTTTAACGATCGTATCAGGTAAACCAGTTTTTCCTCTTTCGTGCAATCAGTTTTATCGGTCTTGCGGTCTTTTAGCTGCAGTGCATACACTCTCCTGACATAACAGTGATTAATAGACGCACTGCTTGAGCTGAAGTCACAGAATGGTTTAGAGTTTGACTGCGGCACCTCACAGGTGGGTAACAGTACAACAACAACCTATACAATTCTGTTTAACTGGACTGTGACCACGGCCAGGTACACACCGGGTTATCCGAAACTTTTATTGAAGCAATACCTTCTTCTGAGTTATATATACATTCAGCCTGTTAATATGGTGTGAAAACTCCCGCTGTAGGATCTGAACACATTCGTAGTCTGTGTACCCTGGCTAACCCCAGTCCCCTTAGCCTGGGGCTACATCCCCCCCCCCCCCCCCNCACATCTTTCATCATCAGCTCACTCGAGTAGGTAATGATCTGGTGTAATGGCAATGACCACGAATAAAATGATGGAGGATTTAGCATACCCCCCCCCCCCCACCAACACACACACACACACACACACACACACACCTTTAACAACAAACAGAAACACGTGTAACACTGGATATAGTACTAGTACTAAAAACATTCTTAGCCGCGTATTTACTGACATGTTTATATTTCTTAAAACAAATACACTAGAAATATTCGCTTTTGAATAATCGAAGGTACAGTTGGAACTACTTGTAAAGAAATTCACACAATCGATATTTGCACAGTGAACATTTAGTGTTGAGGGCAGTAGACCAGTTTTAACCGTAGTTTTCCTAATGTAAGCAGGACCTAAGTATACTCTGTTACTAGGTGAGCGGTGTAGTCCTTGCTGTCTGGGCTTATTATTTACACCGAATAGTAGTACACTAACCCAATGGACAAAATTACAAATTACTAAAGTTATAATGTCCAAGATCTGAGTGACGAACAGAATTGTCCCCTGCACCTATGGACTGAAGTATACCACTAAACTTTTCGATTAAACACAGTTCTAGAAATATCAGGTGATATCATGATTGTACAGAGATCTGGTATATTAATTAGGTTTAAAGGCATTAAAAGACAGTGGCAGCTAGTGCTTACGTGGTTACAAGTAATTACGTGGTTACAAGTAATTCAGGGCAATTAACCACAAATGGTAACTAATGTGAACGTTAATGTATTTTTCGTTGCTGTGCTTCAGTTGTTTTTAGGTAAAAAATAAGCAGAAAACATCAATAATATTGTTTGTGTAACTTTATGTTATCAATATTAGGCGTATACCGTGGTTGTATAATGCAGATATTCGCATTATTCGTCCAAGCGCATATTAAGGAAATTGGCTGTACTTGCTATGTCAAAATTAGTATATAAAAAATGACGTTTAATTTCCTTACGAGCAATTTCTCTCTAGTGGTCGTCCGTTCATGTAGACATATTTGTTCATTTCCGTTACTTTTAATCATCATGAAAGCCTTCAAGTCGGGTTAGTCCCCCCCCCCCCCCACCCACCCGCTTCCCCGTCTTTTGGTACTCGTGTACCGCGCCCCGTGTCCCCTTCCACAGACACTCAGCAGTGTCTTAAAGTTCTATACGGCAGTCGGCGAACAGTTTACGTACTGACATGGGTGGGAGTGCGATTACGAAGAATTGGGCGTGTCTGTAACTTATATGTACACTTTTGTGTGTATTGTTCTCTACACGGATCTAGCTGTTTACTTTGGTAAAGGTGGCACAATTTGTATAATTTCAACAGGTGATACGTATATTTTACACCAGTGTCTTGAACCACGTGCACCTTCCACTCTAAACTGACATTCCTGATACCGTGCCTTTCTTGTATTGTGATATGTATAAAAACCGGGGACCGGTGTTTGACCTTGAGACCTAGAGGTTTGGTCTAATTTTAATTTAGCATGAGTCCGTAGTATTTTACGTACACAAAGTAGCTATTGCTCCAAAGTAATGTGTCAAATATTTTATTTTTGCGACAGCGCATTCATTTATTAAAGTGTAATATTACTGATTTATCTTGGTGAGGAAATAATGTTCAAAATGTCCCTAGGCCTTTGATGTGTGTCTACTTGGGTTGCAAAACCACGCCATAGTATCGAAACAGGGGTGGATCATTTTCATTCTTTCTTTTTTTATTTAAATACAAGCAGTGCTGAGCTGGCCTGTTTACCTGTGACTGAATCATGCTCATTCGCGCACATCGTCTCCCTGTATAACGCCCTGTGAATACCGGGCCTGGATGTCTGCAGATCATCTCTGTAATGGTCAGCTAATTGACATTCAGTGTCACACCTGTTATGATGTTGATATCCATAGAACTTGACACCTCGTGGTCACCAACTGGACAGTTATTGCATGATGGGGACCAGAGGTGACAAAACAATATAAGCCACGGTAAGCCTTGAGTGATCAGAGTACAGACTTCACAGTGCCTCACATATTATTGTATGTGATTAGTTGAACTTAGGCTTCGTTCACATGCAATGTCTATTTTCTAAATTCTATTTTCTATTTGCGGTATGTCTTATGATCACAGTCTGTGGCCTGAATATCCCGCGGCGTAATTACTGGCAGCGCGAGCCAGTTACTATAAGTTACTATAAGTAACTGGCTCGCGCTGCCAGTATTTTATTGTTTATTGTAGTTGTTGTTTATTGCTAGATATTTACAGATATTTCTCTAGATGGTTCTTTTGTACTTCTCATTACTCTACTGACCACTGGTAGAGAGTGCTTGTTGAGAAGGGTGAGATGGGGTGATCAAGACGAGGAAGTGAAAGGCGCTCAGTCTGGGCTTAGTTGGCAACTGGCTAGTTGTCTACACCTATGATTTATCAACACTTATTTATTCATTGCGCCCGGTAATCTACCATATGACACTGACTATTACGTCTGAAGTAGCTTTTCCATGGTTGACACAAGGTAGACCTTAGGTTCAAACGTAGGTAAATAACAATGGGGGTTAGCACGCTGTACAAGTACAAGTAATACATGTAGTTTGGCATCCATCAGATCGGTGTGGGATCATAGCTGGTAGAGACACCTAGCAGTTCTTAGTTAAACGTTATATATTCCCCACACTGCACAGGGCAGAGAACATATCATTTACTAGCTCAGGTAATCTGACGCTGACGATTCCTCTTCCTAGTCCAATAGACAGAAATAGCATACTTAATCAAGCTGTACGCGTCAACACGTTTGCTAGTCTCACTCGGAGATCTCCTGACGCACGATAACACCCTGCCAATACTCGTGTCCCGTTCTGTGTGTCACACTAACGGAATAGTAGATTGAATGATAAACAATATTTAGATTATTTGAATGAAAAATTAACAAAGTGGTTAGTCCCGGTGGGGTGCGTGGGTGGGTGTCTAACACCTAAGCTAATGAGGCTACTAATTTCGTCGCTATAAAATAAGGTTGCTTATGTTTTTTCGTGGCATCCTCAACATATTTCTTCCAATAAAATATAGCTTCTTTGCCGCTCAAAATAAAGAAAAACACTTCATACACTAATGAATATGCGATTTTAAACCATTTTATGCCCTAGACTGAAGTCGATTTAATGGTTAATTTCTTGTTTATCTTCCGCAAAAAAGTATCCTTTTAACAGCGTTTATCAAATTTATTATTCATAAATATCATTACTCTCCACAATACATTGAGGAAATTTGGAGGTAAAACCCCTGGTTTCTTTTCTTGACGGTGTAGTGCTAAAGTGGAGGCAATTTATTATTCATAAAGATCATTGGTCTCCACAATACATTGAGGAAATACATTGAGGTAAAACCCCTGGTTTCTTTTCTTGACTGTATAGTGCTAAAGTGGAGGCAATTTGTTTCGAATTTCACACGTGTATCAAAGGTATTTATATTGGAATGTAAATAAACGGGGTTCATTAGTGACATCTTTCGTCCTCTTGATTGGAGTGATATATTGGACAGCATCTACCAGGTGCCTGTCAATACTTTTTAATTTTAATTCTAATTTAAGGACCGTATACACCAATACCATAGCTTTGATACACGATGATATATTCAGTGGAATTCTCTCGACAATTTCTGTTATCCTGGGTGTCTTTTTTTTATTGAAAAGTAGTTCTGTTACATGTCATACTTAAGTTTTGTAAGAAACTGAGAGATTAAATTTTATCAACATGTTTAGCCGAAAGAAAATCACCCGTGGACCCACACAACAGGCAAATATGCACATAGGCAAACTTCGACGACCCGTTCAATATATTATCTTGGATAAGCTAGCTAACATATTGACCAACACTCCCAGATGTAATCACTGGGCGGACATCATCTTTACCCTGAAGACAATGTATACAGGGTGAAGGCACACATACTGTAACTGGACATATACAGCATAAATCGATGTAATAATGCACTGGTCACGCGCTTTTTTGTACGTGCATGGATGCTCGCTCGCGTGTTTGTGTGTGTGTGAATCTGAGCAAGGAGTTTTAACATAGAGTTCCTTGATCTGAGAGAGATACTATTGTTATTCTTCATTCTGTGGGATAATAATTGACTTCTATGAATTAATATACAGTTCATATTGGGAATATGCGACTTCAGAATGATTTATGAAGAGGGCCTTGTCATAAGAACTGAGGACAATCACCGTCATATGTACAGGTTAATATTGCTGCAGTGACCAGCACACACATACCACTATGAAATAACACCATTAGACCATCGTGGAGGTATGTTAATAACTAAATACTTGGCTTATGACATAGGTAATTATATCCTAATGCGTGGAATGAGCGTCTTAATCCCGGCAATCGTCACCTGTATTTAGAGGTCTCGCGTCAGCATTCAACATTCTCTAGGGTTGGGCACTGCGCACTGTAAGTTCTCAAATGTGAAAATACAGTTTCACTGGATCTCAGTTTTAATGATTGAAAAGTTTTAATTTATGATAGATTCACACATGTGATTTACCTGTTGACAGTTTCGTCTGTTCACTATGACAGGCTTGGTCACAACTCAGTTCTTCCTTCAGTAAGTTGTGTGAAGAAACCCACGAGGTCAGACATTTTCGTTTTTCTGGGTTTTTGGTTTGTCTCGTTGCTTTGAGGTATAAAGTTTTCTGTTTTCTCTGTTATGTTGTTATAAAACACAGGAAGGGTCTACTTCTGGCGTAATGCCATCAGCACAGTTTTTCCCCCGATAATTAAAACCTTGTGAACACTTCTGTATATCCTGCAACGTTCACATTCAGTGTGTGCTGTGATAAGAGCGTGGCAGAACTTAGTATGCCGCAGTTTACTGTCCAGACAACAGCGGACCGGAACAGACCCATTGTTGTTCTGTAAAACTGGACATAGAGCAGAAACCGGTTATTAAGTGTCACGGCCATATATCTGTGTTATCTTTCATCTTGTCAACGTGTTCCCTGTGGATGACAAAACGACCGTCTTGTGACACAGAGTGTGGAGACGTTCGTGTGTGTGTGTGTGTGTGCGCGTCTGCTTACTTAGTCCATGCTCTGAACGTGACCGTGTTCCAGACGTATGCTTGCGTGCGCGCACCTGTATGTATATGTGTGGGCCTGAATATTTGTATACATTCATTTGCCCAAGTCAAATCTTTCAGATATCTTAACTATTGACATACTGACACACCACCCTTCCCCTTCCCGTGTGTGGCCCTGGGCCTCGTAACTCGAAAGCATCGCGCATTGCGACCGAGCGCAAGCGTCTTGATTCCATAACTCGCCCATACTCACCCCATATAATACATTGTAACCTCTATATCGCTATTCGCAATGCACGATGCTTTCGAGCTAAGGGGCCGTGTTCTACACACTACATACACTGCGGGCTGATGTTTACTAGTACGTGTAGGGAGTACCAGCCAAGGTATGTGACCTAGATGTAATCACCGGGGAACTGTACTCATGTTTTGGTATTTTTGTTATTCCAGATGCGAGGTGTTTGACTGGTGAGAAGAGCTAAGAGATACACAAACAGTACCTGGTGAGCTATTTCTGCCGGACACCTGCAGAAATGGACGCTAAAAAAGGTCAGTGTTTGTATTTTAAATGTTTAAGTGTTCCGTTCTAATGAGGTCCGGCACGATGAGACGGTGAACCTTTGACCTCGTGGGATGGGGAATATTGAGAACTGTAGAAGCCACAAACAGAGAGAGAGAGAGAGAGAGAGAGAGAGAGAGAGAGAGAATGACTGGATGGGTGTGCAAGACACGAGTACAAACGAAAGCCTGTCGGTTCTTCTATTTTCACAGGTCAACAACTTGCTGGCTAACATGACAGGGTTACGTGACAGGTTTTTGTATTTCGAGCACATATAATTTACTTACAAACACTTGTCATTAACAATAATGTACAATATCACATCTGTTACGGATCAAGGTGTGCTACTATTACACCTGAAGTGACGTGTAGTTTTAAACCATGTACGTGGTGTATTTTAATCTACATAGTATACTGGTGTATAGGGGAAGATAATGTACAAAATGTGTACGACTAAATGCCCATGATGCGATGTGAATAGTAAATTAACACGAAGACAAACATTTGGCCCGCATGCCGCGTAAAGAGACAAACTTTGGAGCAAAACATGCACCGTTTATTTGTTGAAAAGAGATTTTAAATTAGAGAACACACCACAAAAAAGGCAGCAGAATCTAAATCTGGCTGTAATTTGGTAGACGCACTGCAGGAGTACGCTAACTCATTTCTGTCGACCTACATTTCAAATACATGATATCCGCTCTAAAAACTCTCCATATGGAAGTCAGTTATTGCAGGAAGACAGTAATCTGAATAAGGTCCCAGGCATGATGTGGTATGTCATAAGTTGTCAACATTTTTTTACTGATCGTAGATCTCAACTGCTGCATTTGAAGACTCTCTGTATCCGATCGCTGCGACGACGTCCCAATAGCTCAGTAGTTTCTTGTTTTTTGTTCTCAGACACTTTTATACATCGCCCCATTAATATTTTCTGCTGCTGCAATGTACATGTTAGGGTTAAAGAACTGGGGAATCCTTAATGCTCAATGTAATGGCGCCGCGCAGGTTATCGTAGAGATTTCCACTGTCAACTTATCACTTATGGCACTATTAGGAGTGTGTACTTAGAACAATAGACATAAAACCAGGTGCATTTTATGCAGATTACAGGATATGATGAGCACTTAGACAGGTGATTGTAATGTTTACAGTGTGTGCATGATTCAACGAAGTATATGAGTAATAAAATAGGTAAGATAGATTGAGCTCCGGTTCCGTTATAGTCCATTAGAGACCAAGTCTACCCGTAAACCTCTGAAGATCCCAGTAGGGAATGGAAAGAGAAATAAAACCTGCCCAATTAGATCGAATAGATAACCTCACCATTTCTGAAAATCATTTTGTTAAACATTGGTTGAAACAGTAACAACATTTATGTGGAAGATATTTCGTCGTGGCATTCTCTTAATTGTATAATTATACTAATTTTTTTCGATTTCTTTGTCTTGATATGCAGATATCCAAGGATCCGGTATGTAGACCGCTAGACATGCATTAAAACACTTCACACATATATACTGCTCATACAATATGACAAATACGTCTCAAATACTGGCGTGTCACGTGATTTATCTTTTATTTGAAGCATGCAATTTATGCTTGTATAACATTTATATAATTATATCTCAGTTTAGTACTGTATAATCTATTTATTTGGTTGCATTCTTGGTCTGCTGATATTCATTTTATGATAACTTGATATAAGTCTTGATATCAATAAGTATTAAATTCTGATTTTGGACAGTTGTTTTTTTTTTAAATAATTTTTGTCCCATTTCTCTGCCGTCATAACTTTTTTTATCTCTGCAGTTCTGTTGGGTAATATCTAGAATCAAATACTTTTATGAAGCATGTTGTGTTGGACTTGACTTTTTTTTTTTTTTTGGGGGGCTTTTTTTAGGGGGGGGGNTTTAATCAATAACATTAATCACAACGTGGTATGCATGTCAATGTCATTAAAGTCGCATACGGTACATGGCAAATGCAGTGTTATAGTAATATATACCGAGTAAAAGCGATTTTTTTTTTTTTTTTTTTTTTGGGGGGTGGGGGGGTGGGGGGTGGGGGTGGGGGGGGGGCGGAGGGCGTTAAGTTTGACGTTCTGTAAGATTTCCCTGCTTGGCATCAGTTTGACGATAGCGCTCTTGGTTTTGTTCATATCTCCTTTTTAATCAGCATATTATTATTTCTTTTTTGATGAACAATCCAGTGGCAGAAAACGGGGAGAGGGTCTAAAACAGCTGTTTGCTATGAGAATGCCTTTTTAAAAATCACAGAAATTTTGTTGTCTTTTAATCATACGCATTTAACATGATAAATTCTTAAATAATTTCAACCATATACTTTTATGAAAAATGGATATGGTAATTTTTTATGCAAATAGTGGTCCTTATACCACACCCGGCATTTATATGTTGCTAGCGTTTATATCTTGCTAGCAAATGAGATCAAACACTTTAATACGTTTTATTTCAGACTTTTGTGTTTTAACTTGAAGTATTGTGAAATTTCGTACTTAAAATTGGTAAATGCAGTTATGATGACAGACTGTGCTTTCCATGTACATATATAGAAGGATTAGAATGATTTTATCTCAGTTGATTTTATCTTCCCAACGCCAGGACATAAGAAGAATGGAGTATTGCTGCTTGCCGTAAAACCACGTGATACAGATGACGTCACACCTCGTATGTTCAAACTACACGTGATTGAGCATTGCTTCAAGCACACTCGCTCTACACGTGTGGAATCACAGATGGTTTTTAAATCTTTTCTTCGTTTCTTTGCACTTGTGTGATTTCTTGTCTAGAGTACACTCTTTTATCCTTTTTATATTGGATCCTGCTGTTCTAACGTGTTGTATATTTTGTTGCAGTTTGTGCAGCAACGAGCTGAAACTCCTGGATATGAAAGCAATATGTGAAACGCCATATGCACTTTGTATAAGGGCTATTTCTCATAATAATGTACCGTGGAAAACACAGTAAACCGACACCATGGGACCCATTTGTACAGTTTTATGTCATTTTATCCTCATATTTTCCCCTACAGTGGATAATGGCCCACATTTTATGTCCTTGTTCATACAGTGGTAAAATGTTTGCTACTTAAAGTAATAAAAGCAATTGATATATTGAAAATAAAACATGCCACTACTTGGAAAACCACCGGGAACAGTAACTTTCCAGTTTTCTGAAACCCCACCTATATTACTTGCATCCCTATTAAATTATAACATTGGCTTAAATGAAAATTTTGTTTGAATATCTGACGTTTCGGCATAACTTATGTTGTAATACAATTTGACTCATTACAAAATTCATCTACTTTAAGAATAATAAGGAAATTGTCCTCATGCGATATAGGCGACCTCTTTTCTGTACGTCTATTTTTCTCCTTACTAGCGTGGGCCATTTGTGCTGAAAAGAATACTTCCACTCAGTACATGTGTATGTTACGGACACGTATCTTTACTGACACTACTAACAGTACTACCAGCATTGGGTGGTATGGTGTAATATTTAGTTTATTATTATTTAGTTAAGTATGTTTAGATATGTATTGTACTAATATGTGATATATTCCCCCTCTCTCCCAGAGGTACTGCAACCAGTAAAAAGGTAGATTAGGAACTTTAGTAGGAACAACCTATGATGTGTATTTGTTCAAAAAACCTTTAACCGTTATATTCATGTGTTGATTTTAGTGCCTTGTGGTTTGGGTCTGATGTGATATTTATATTTGGTTTTGTAGACTCACGTGTTACACCTAATTTGTTCTCTTTTTAGAATGTTCTCTTTTTAGTGATTGCCGTAGTTCAGATACAGATATTATTTTCTTGTTAGTTTGATAAGGTTTTATTAAAAATAATTTCATTTTTTATCATATGAATTCGAATTCTCGAAGCTATCCCACATTTGGTGATGGTACTCTGCAATAAAAGTGCATTTTGTTCACGCACGGGGAAAAACCGACCACTGATTTCAGCCTAAAGACTACAGCGTACATACACGCTCTAATTTCTCACTTATTATTATTATTATTATTATTATTATTATTATTATTATTATTTTTATTATTATTATTATTATTATTTCCTCAGTATGTGTCTGTATACTTCAGGTGACATTAAGACCCTGCAGAATGGGACGCCACTCCTGAAAATTCGACATAAGAAGACGTACCGCCGCTTCTTCTATGTGGCCAGAGACATGAAACACATTTGCTACAGAGGGTCGCGAAAGTTTGGACATTCTACTGTACATATGTGTAAGTTCACTGTTGAGTTTGATTGTTTCCAGGGTAGTACTATATTATACTTATTATAGAATAACGGGAGAAGACAAGCGGTGTTACACGTATATCTCCTTCAGATTAATATTTTAATTTCACCCACCGCAATGACACCTTTTAAGCCACCGATGTCTTATAACATGGTTGAATTCCTATTGTAAAAGTGCATGTAGCGTGAGACTTGCATTATTATCGTGATAACTGTTCTGTTTATATATTTTGCTATATTTTAAGTGACAGAGAACTTCAGTTATAGTAAGCGTTTGCCCTTTTATATAAGTCTGTCGTTATGTCAGTCAGCAATGGTCTGTTGTTGTTCCAGGTAAACTAAACGACATTGACGACATTAGGGAAGGCAAGCTGACAGATGCACTGCAGAAACTGAAGCCAAAACCAAGGGTAATTACTGACTTTTGATACAACAAGTGAAGTAACAACAGAATATCTTTGTGATTTATAGAATAAAATGAATTTATGAAAACTCCGACAGAGATGTGATCTAATATAAATTACATTCTGCGACGTTTTATACATTTCTTATACATTTCATTTGTTTGCAGTTTGAAATATTTGCTCTTCATTTGCTGTTTACTTTCTCAGAATAGATATTCAAATGTTTAACTTGCCAATCTTATCACCCTTTTCCATACAGGACGAGTTTTGTTTCTCGTTAATTCGCGGGAAGAAGTCATACGATTTTATAGCGAGAAATAGCGATGAACGAAACGCTTGGGTCACAGGACTTCGCAAACTTCTTAAACAGAAGATGCCAATACACAAAGACTATGAGAATATACGGAAGGCGTATCCTTTAACCTCACCAGTCTGTCAGATCTAAACGTCAACAAAACCGATATATGTATGGGCCTGTCTGTTTTGATTACAACATCACTTTATTTGATTAATTTATCATGTAATCTGTTGATTTAATTGTACTGATAACGATAGATNGTCACTGCAGGCTTGTGAAATTTAAACAGTGCACGGTATCTTAGAGGATCAATGGTATAATACTGATTATGCACAAAAGGCTGTAGAATGAACAGTGACAAAGTACTTGTATTTTATGGCGTATTTCTTCCACGCCGCACGTTTGAAAACATCATACTTTGCATCTTTAATGATTTTCTTTCGTGAATTTGTGCATGAAAGAGTACTTGATTAATAAACACATCAGAATTTAACAGGTTACATTTCCTCAGTGTATGACAGCTGGATTGCTCGGTGCTTTCGCAAGGCGGATCGGAGCAAAGATGGCCGCCTGACCAGGAAAGAGGTCGTTGACTTGATGGACGCGATGAACGCTGGGATAGATAAAGTGACAATTTCTGAAATGTTTGATGTAAGTCGTACATAAATCATTTTTAGTTTCGCGACACATTGGAGGGTATGACAAATTTGTTAGAAATTCAACCATATTTAAACAAATTTATTGTTAGTAACGTCAGTGACGTTTGTGTATGCTCTTCAAGTTGTAAAGGAACCGAATTAAAATGTCTTCTTCTCATATTGATTACAGAAAGCCAATTTCCGTGACGACAAAGACGAACACGGCAGAGATGTTCTGGATCTGGAGGAATTCGTTAAGTTCTACGAACTCCTCACGTACAGGGAAGAGCTGGAAGAGTTATTCAAAAGGTTTGCAAGACTTTTATTTGCTTTGTAGAAAGAATTCTCGTCTATAATTTGAATTGAATTAAAATTTGCTTTTCAGGAAAAGGTAGACTATTCATACAAGTTTCGATGAAGATGTTTATAATATCATTTCTCGCAGAACAGCGACAGCGTATGTGCTGAAATTCAATGTTTAATTAATAGAGACTCCACCGTGACACATTGTACACATTCCCTGTTTTATCTATGCTTCTAGTTATACTGGCGGAGGTGAGGATATGAGCGCAGAGGTTCTCAAGACTTTCTTAGAAACAGAACAAAAGGTGAGTAGAACCAGAAAGATACCACTTTTTATCCCTCGGTATAAAGAATTGTGATTCTTTTATGTCAGTGAGTGGAGCAATATTCCCGTTTTTTTTCAACACAATTATACAAGATATCTGAACCTATTATTAGGGTGTGTGTGGTTTTGTATTTTCAGGTGGAAAAGAGCATAGAAGACTGCGAGAAACTGATAAAGGAGTTTGACCCGTGTCAGGAAGACAGCGACCAGACCCTCATGACAGTGGAAGGTAAGTCAGAACAACCTGTCACGTGTCAAGAAGACAGCGACCAGACCCTCATGACAGTGGAAGGTAGAACAGGGCACAACCTGTCACGTGACTTTTCTTCATCAGCAGCTGTTAAGTTTATCAGAGATCAATTCTACATTTCCTCTCACAGTAGATTTTGTGGAGTGTAAGATATTTCTAGAAATTGTTTAGCAAACGTTACAGTTAGAAATGTCTAAATAAATATAAAAGTATGTATAGAAAAATTATAATAATAAAACAAACACGTGAATCTACCCTTTTTTCGCAGGTTTCAAGAAGTTTCTTCTGTCCGAAAGTCAATGTTTGTTCAACGTTGCACACCGATTGATATATCAAGACATGACACTACCGCTACAGCATTACTTCATTAACAGTTCCCACAACACGTAAGTAGCTTACATGGCGGGGGATATTTCCCTATAAAATATCTGTCTATTCTTCATTAGGTAAAACAGTGTATTTAGGGCCACTTCTCCAACGCCATCTACATGAGTACACTTCCTCAACACCACCAAAATGCGGTTCACTGAAACATGTGCATGTAGATGAAATAAAATCATGACAGCTGTTTTATACTTTCGATTTCTATTTGAAATTGTCAAACTGGTGCTGAGTATCAGATTTACTGACGTTATGTTTCCTTGTAGATATCTTACTGAAGACCAGTTAAAAGGCCCCAGCAGCGTGGAGGGGTACATCCGGGCACTTCAGAAAGGCTGTCGTTGTGTGGAGCGTAAGTGGCCTTCACACAAGAATATTAGAACAACTAGGGAATATGTATATATTTCGATCAAGAATGTATCATTAGGAAATGTATTGTCTGCGGTATAACGGTACTTAAGTGGCTCCTTATGGTGGAGAATATTACCACCTCATAATGTTCTATGATTCGATCATTGTGGTGTATGTTTTACATGTTTTAACAGATTTTTAAAAAGCACATGTCTTTGAACTATACCAACCTACAACAAAAAGTGAGACAAAACTATTGCTTAAAATATCGGAGTAATGTAAATGCTTCAATCCCATTTCCAGTGGACTGTTGGGACGGACCAAATAATGAGCCTATTATCTACCACGGTCACACTCTCACGTCCAAAATCCTCTTCAAAGACGCCATCGTGGCTATTAAGAACTTTGCGTTCGTGGCATCAAAGTACGTATTTATAACCTTTATTATTGGGTATTGGAATGAAAGAATGTAAAGCCAAGAGAACTGTTTGTTAATTTCTGTGCCTCTCTTGTACGATTCCGTAATCTTTTTCATTAAAAGTAACCTGCCTTATCAAGAACATGTTGTATTGAATTATTCACCCGCCATTGTTGGAAGTTTGTTGATAATTGTGTTATTTGCCCCAGATTTAGGTTGCTTTGCTATAAATTATGGTAAAACAAACTGTCCCCCCATTCCAGATACCCAGTGATCCTGTCCCTGGAGAACCACTGCTCTGTACCTCAGCAGACGGTAATGGCAAAGCACATGAAGACTATCCTAGGAGGTAACCTGGGCTCATCGGGGGGAGGGGGGGGGGGGTCTTTTTTGACCCCCTTGTATCGTTTTCTATTTATGATAATACTGGCACGCTACACCTTCTAAATACTTGGTTTAAGAAACGTGTGATCGTATTGACGTCTTCTTTTATGTTGGTTGGATATAAATGTCTCTACGAACTTCTGATGACCTTTTCATGAAAAAAAAAAACACTACAACAGAAAAGAAAGATTATGGTCGTGGTTAGCATTACAAATGTGAATTAAATTATATGATGAAATGTTTCAGCCTATTGATGTGATTTCAGACACCCTATATTCACCTCCGGGGGGCATTGAGAGCTTGAAAGAGTTTCCTTCTCCGGAAGACCTCATAGAGAAAATTATAATCAAGGTATCCATAATTCTTATCATATAATTCTTATCATATACGCTAACTAGTATGTGCCTTCTTTGTACTTTTTTCACTGTTTAACACAATTTGTATGCAGTTAAGCGAGTCAAAGAGGCTGACATGTGCATTACTTTTGGCAGATGCCTACATTAATCTACTAACAAACTATTTTATATTTGCAATACCAGCTTAAATTTTTATTTGAAGTAAGTTTGTCTATTGTCGCTTGACTTCTTACTAGAAGCCATGCAAACTGATCACTTTTGCAATTATTATAGTTTTTGCGTTTGGGTTGAAGCGCCATATTTTCCTTGTTCAGCCTAACCACGGTTTCAATGCATTAATTTATTTAGCTTTATTTAATATATGTACACCACTTTGTAGGGAAAGAAACTACCGCCTCAGGTAAGACAGGTCCACGTGTATGGGACCCAAGTGTGTCAGATTTCTGGTCATGTTAATCATGTCATGCGTTCATTTTTTCCACCAATTTACATTAGATGTGTTGACTTTATCCATTACCGTTTTATTTAGAGTGTTTGGTATTTTACTTATTACCTGGTAGTGCTGAAATTAATTGTTTTAAATTTTAATCAAAGTTAGTGACACAAAAAACTGATAACCCAGGCTTGACCCTTTAATATTTGCCGGTACGTCATCCCCTGTTCATATTACCGCGCGCTAAAACAGGCGGGCAGTGCTTGCCGCTAAGAGCGAAGCATGTCATTGGTTATCAGCGTGTGGGGCTTTACTGCTGGATCACGAGTATTTTACACATAAACTGAGTAGCTGTGGGAATGAAGGTGTGACTCTAACTAATTTGCATGCGTTTGGTTTTATAACTTTATAATTCGCCTAAATATTGAGTATAATGCGGAAATCGAGGTAAAAGTTTGCTTGGGATTTTTTTTTAAATAAAAAACATGCTTGAGCTTGAGTGTGTGCCATCATTCATTTTGGGTTGTACTAACATTGGTAAGGAATTTATTTCATAAGATTTAACGCACGAGCGCATGGTTTGAGGTGATAAAGGTAAGCAGTGTTCCCAGTCACGTTGAACCGACATAACTTTGTATGCCCATCTTAGCTGGAGTTCTGATTACAATCAGTTTCCCACAGAAAGCCAAAGTAATGGCACCTCAGCCAAGTGATGGTGTGTGGGATAGCAGAAGGACTAGATCCCACTGAGAACTTATCGTTCACACAGACTTATGATGTGGGACGTTTTAAAGGAGAGCGGTCCACCGTGACTGGAAACAGATTAAAGTTATTTGCTCGTAAGATGTGTGCGATTTGTATTGTGAGCGCGTGTTTTTAAAATACGTTAACTTCAGTAAAGTGTGATGAATGTCTGTTGTAACAGGGAGTCAGGTAGGTGTGGGGACCAGTTAAATCCTAGATTTGGTATTTCGGCTAATATCGGGGAAAGCATAGAGTAGAAGTGGGATATTACGGATTGGGGTGATTGTGGTTGTATTTCTTCAAGTGAAGTCACAGGAAAGTTTGCAGTTCATTCCCACCTCATGTGCTGCTATTTGGATGCAACAGTTGCATTTGGCTTACACAAACAGGACGGTTAGAGTATCCACAATGTAAATGAAAATCTTTTCAGTGTTAATGACAGCTTTGCTTTATGACCTTGCTGAGCGCTCTCTCGGATCTGCAGTTGGTTTGCGAAAAAAGAATTCTGTACATCTTAGATCATGTGATGAAATCTTTCAACCTTGTCAGAAAAAAGAATTCAAACTTACAAAAAACGCGAATCTTTCTTCTCCAGGGAAAGAAACTGCCGGCAGACGTTGTGGACGAGGGTGACGTGTCAGACGAAGACGAGGCTGAAGAAATGGCGGAAGTCGACGAGAACGTGCAAACAGAGGTGCAGAAAAAGTCGACGGAAAAAGTGAAGCTGTCAAAGGAGCTCTCTGACCTAGTGATGCTGAAAGGAGTATCGATGAAGAGCTTTGAACATTCCAGGAAAAATTGTAAGCAAAACACAATGACTATTGCGTATGAATGGTTCGCCTGCGATGTTTCTACCCCAAAAATTAATTCAGAAATACTTTTACAAGGGGAAATGATCACATATGAGTCTTTTAATATTTTTTCCATAAATTAAGCCTCAAGTTTTGAATAAAGGAGATAAATATTAATATTACTAGTTATTCTGTTTAATCAAACCCCGTGATGCTTATTTTATAGATAAGTTCTACGAGATGTCTTCTATAGCAGAAGTGAAAGGGTTGGGCCTTGTAGACGACGACGCCCTGTCATTTACACGGCATTGCGCATTCCAATTGGTCAGAACGTACCCGAAGGGCGGGAGAATTGACTCTAGCAACTATAAGCCACACCCATTCTGGACTGTCGGGGCTCAGATAGGTCAGTAGCATCTGTCAGTTACTAAAAGCACGTCGTTTAGTTTTACGGAAGGAAGAAAGGTATTTGTCATCCGATTATGTTGAATAAATACCTTGTAGAAAGGGCGTTTTTACACTGAACACGTGCTGTGACCTTGACTGCCATCAGCTATGAGATAGAACTCATAAGTGTTTTAATTCTTCTTTGCCTTCCAGTTGCGCTGAACTTCCAGACGACAGGTGCCTACCCCATGCGTCTCTACCTGGGCAAGTTCCAGGATAATGGCGGGTGTGGGTACATTTTAAAGCCGACCTATATGCAGAAAGGTGAGATAACTATGCACATCCTGGCTTCCATTCCCTATCAGACAATAATACAGAGAATTTATGTTTGTATTTTCATACAAAAATTAATTATTAGTGTGCTTTAAGACAAATGGCATGGAAAATTACAGAAGGATTCGCAGTCGCCGCTTTAGGCAAATTGCATCCTCCTTCAAAGCGCTTTACAATCTCTCACTATTCTCGGAGTAAATATTTTATGTGCGTTTTGGTTTCCAGAAAACACAATCTTCGACCCCAACTCGAACGATCTCACAAAGTTCTGTGTCCCCCTGAAGTACGTTGTCACAGTTCTCAGTGCACAGCAGCTGCCCAAGCCTCAGAGTGCCAGCGAGAAAAGTGAGATCATTGACCCCTACGTTAAGGTCTCCGTTAAGGGCATTCCCAGCGACTGTCAGGCGGAGACCACCAACTACGTCAGTAATAACGGTAAGGTGACGTGTGGACGAACGAAGTAGAGGATGTCATAGCGTCTCGCAGTTGACTTGTTTGGAACAACATCAGTATTAAATTTGAAAGCGCTATTAGTCCAATTCATAAGATAACGAAATGGAAATAAAAACGCACAGATACGGTAAAATATTTAAAGAAGTGGACAAGATATTTTTTCAAAAAATAAAGGCAAACTGTGAAAATCCTGGAAATTGATCTAGTGTAATGACGTGTCATTTCGTTATACATACTATATAACGGCTTACACAGCTATTGCATTGCTTGTAGCTATTTCTGTTATCTCTTGCAGGTCTGAATCCAATCTGGAAACACAAGGCCGAATTCAAAATAAGATGCCCTGATCTGGCTGTCATTATGTTTACAATTCGTGATAAGGACAAGCGATCAGGAGACGAATTCATTGGATATAATGCATTTCCCGTCACAAGTATGCAACCCGGTAAGTTTCGGTTAACATTCACGTCCACATGAACATTGTGTAAACGCTGTGTTGAAGCTGTTACGGGTGTCTGCGTGGAATGAAGCGTGTTCGTGTTTGAATTTTCAAAAGGTCATATTTCAAACTGTACGTAAAATGTTTTAACTCTTTCATCATCCAAAATCCTTTCACCTCCATCTTAATCGTCGTTATTCCAAAATATATATTTTACCTTATTAACCTTATTAGTATTCATTTTGAAATCTGTCAGGCCGAAGTATGTATTTCGGAGCTACTTTTATTCAAATGCAAGATAAATACATTCTCTTTATCGTTATTCTAGGTTACCGACACGTTGAACTCCTCACAAAACACGGGGACCATATTCCTATGGCAAGTTTATTCGTGCACTTGGAAATCATTGAGGAATGAGCCTCACTAATACCCCCTTTACACTGGACGGCGTCCTTTCTGCGACCATGAAATTTGGCATCGCTGTGGTCTTAATAAGGAGGCAGGAGCATTGGTTTTGTATCAGAATGAATGCTCAATGATCGGCCAGTTGTCGGCACGTAAAGTATTATAATTTTTTAACTCTCAAATGGGGCCGTACTGCTGGACGCAGAAAGGACGCCGTCCAGTGTAAAGGGGGCCTTATATACAGTCACTCTGTCTACTGCTGCACAACATACGGGACACTGTTATAGAAGTGGAACACTGCTCTGGAAATAGTGACAACATCATTGTACATTGTCATTTATGCCACTTATTAATGGCCCATGTGGCAATAGGTCAACATTGGATCACTGACGTTTTGATTTCATTTGATTTGATTTATTTCATATTTTAAATAAATCTTATGCAGAAAGTTTTATACATAAAAACATTATAAATGTATGGATTACATAGTAAAGTATAAAACTTATTTCCATTTCGCCGAAACACTTAGCTGTAAATGCTTATGCCATGATGACGCTTTGTTCTGAAAATTAAACTGGTTATTGAGTTTTCAGAGTCATCGTGCTGTAAAGATGTATTTTTCTCGATATTCTACGTATCATTTTCCATAAAATAAAGGATATTTATCAAATGTTAATTATAGTGAGCTTGATTTTTTACTTCATGTTTGATTGGATACCGTTGTGAATGTAAGAGACATCGTAATACAGATCAAGTAAACGGACCAAGGTGCCTATAGTTCCGCTGGGAGAATTAAAGTTACCTAAAGTTTACGTTTGCAATTTTATCTGTGCCGGGTCCAAAAATGACCAGGCATCTTATGTAACCCGCACTGGAAGGCATGTAGCGTGCAGTATACTCGAACTGTACTTCATTTTACTTTAAAATCCAGAAGTAACCATTCACGTCCCTATTGGTATGTCTACCAGTCCCCGAGGTTTTAGCGTCCCGGTCGACATACAGGTTTTTTGCCGGTCTCCGCTGCGCTAAAACCCACTCGACGTCTTCAACCAAAACCAGTGGAAAAGGAATGGTGGGCTAAGTTTCAATTGACGTGTGCGGCAACGAGAAACAAAAAGCTGCTTGTATAAAGTACCTTTAATTTCAAATCTAATACTAATCCTGGTCTTAAAGTTTTGGTCTGGTTGACGACGTGCGCTGCGTCTACCTCTCGGTGATTTCAGCCGGTCTGTTGAAAATACAAGCGCCCTTTTCTGATCTTTTCTGGGCCTTGTTACTTATTCCTTTAATCCCCCCTCCCCTCCCCTCTCTCCCCCTCCCCATGCCCTGTACAGGTCAAATTCATTTACCTCCTGTTTGTTAAGGCTCGGCGGCTCTCTCCGCTCATATATGGATTACTTTCCACCCCTTCTGAACCAATATTTCTTGTCCAAGAAGGTAACATTTAATTTTACAATGAAAACGTTTTTAAAAAGTTCATTTACCTTCCTATATATATGCCGGGGCACCGTCCTACACTTGCTCAGCGCGGTTAACAATTGGTAGCGTTTTTTTTTTTTTTTTTTTTTTTTTTTTTTTTTTTTTTTTTTTTTTTTTTTTTTTTTTTTTTGCTGATAGAGACAGGGTGTTAACGCTCTCACCTCTCTGGGGAGGATAAAGCCTTGCATGCAATATTAGCGAGACACTGAAAGCTAGCAAACGAACAATATCTGTCTCTGCTAAGCTATCAGGCTTCTCGTGTAAACTTTACCTCTGCGTCAATCTCTAATTACTGAGTGCCAAGCGGGGAAACAACAGGTACTGTAGGTACAGGACGGGGGCACACTCACACTTTCCCGCTCCGGAGAAGGACACTGATCACAAGGCTATCGATAAAGTCACAGAGAATGGAGTTTACTCAGTGGCGGATTTTGCCTCTTAAGCCTGGGTCACACTGCGCTTGCAACCTTTTGGCAACCTCTTGGCAACCTCAGTCGCAAGGAGGTTGCCGTAGGTTTTAAAGTGGTCGCATATGGTAACAGGTCGCCTGCGATCGTTGACACGTGAAAGCCGTTTTTTGTGCACCGACAACCAGTGCGACTAAAGATGAAAATTATCGGTATCCTAAAGGTTGCCTATCGGTCTTTTCTTGGTTGTCAGTAGGTTGCTATAACCAGTATAATGCCATTTGCAACTGCACGGTCGATTGACAGTATTTAGGCGACTGGTCGCTTACAAGTTTTTTACCAGTCGCAAGTAGTCGGCAGCAGGTCGCTAGAAGGTTGCAGTTGTAACTGCATGGTCGATTGACGGTCTTTAGTCTCTTGGTCGCTTACAGGTTTTTTACCGATCGCAGGCGTTCGAAAATATGTCGCAGGAAGGTTGCAAGCGACTGCAATAAAATAGGCGTAGGATGGTGGTCTATTTGGGCAAAGACTTTTTTCATAATTAGTTATGTAAACCTTCTAAATACCAAGGTCATGAATTATAATATTTTAGAAAAAGAAAACATAAAATGCATTTGTTGGCAATATCTAATATCAATTGCCAAGGCTTTCACATACCAGGTATTTCACACTTGTACGAAACCAAAAAAAAAAAGTGATGCTAAAAGCAATGTACGATTTTTTGACGCTACGTTTATTTATTTTATCATTTTGCGAAAATCATAGGTAAAATGCCGAAAACCTCAATTATATATCGCTGTACGTTATTTAAAATTTGCGAAGCCATATTATCAGAGTAAACAATGAAACAAATACACGAATGCAGAGAAAACGGAAAATAAAAACAATTTAATCAGCAATGTAAAACTGCTATTTAATATAATAATTTTAACAATCAAAATTATCCACAAATAATTGAACAAATCGTAAAATGTGACCAATAGACTTTAATAAAAATAGTTTCAACACAAACAATTTAACATCTTCCCAGTGCTTGGTATCCTCACTACAAGGATGAGAGTGTAAAAAGTACACGATGCGCATGACTTGTTACGATTTAATTACGTTGTATTGTAAGTGGCAAACGCCTAGGGTTAAAAAGACAAGGGAAAACCACACATTCGGTTGCAAATCAGTTGCAAAGCAGTCGGCGACCTGTTAGCAACCGCTTGGATACCACAAGTAGGTTTTTCGGTCGCCAGGAGGTTATCGGTGCTGCACCGTAAACCGGCGCGACCAGTTATTAAACCAGCGTTCTTTTGGAAACCACTTTTTGCCGACCTTTTTGCAACCGGTGACAGTTGCAAGTCGCAAAGAGGTTTTTTTGTTCAGTGTGACCGTAACTGCACAGGCCTTGCGACCTCAAAGAGACCAAGTATTTGACCAAGAAAATATTAAAGAGTATTATGAGATTAATAAGGATTTAAACGTATGCAAGTTTATGTTTTTATTTTCGAGTTTTTTCTCTTTTTACTTCTTAGGTAAGCAAAGTCAATTATTATAGCAGTCCCCTCTTTTTAAAAAGGAGTCGTTCTACTAGAGCATTTTTTGTATTTTGAGAGGGGAATTTATGGGAAAGCAGCTATTGTCACAAGTATATTCATGTATATCCTGTGCGACCTTGCTGCTACCAGTTGACAAGCGATTGCTACAGTCCTGCAACCAGTTTTCGGTCACCAAGTGGTTGCAGACAGGTTGTTTATCGCTCGGCAAACAGTGTGCGACTGGTAGCCTATAACTTGAAGATGGTCTATAAGAGGTTGCAGATACCATACTGCAACCTTGTGTCAACCGGTTTGCGACTGCTTGCCGATCAAAATTGACCATAGCTTCTTCATTAGCTTGCAAAGTGATCGCAAGCGACCGCCAGATTTTGTGGTTGCAAAAAGGTTGCAAAAAGGTCGTAAGCGCAGTGTGACTGGGCCTTTATATATACCAAGTTGATCCAAGTTGGATTTTTTTTCCTTTTCGGTGGTTTGTTCTTTACACTTTCAACCTACGGCAGAGTAGCGCTTTTCACTATCCTATTCTTTGTACAGTTATAATTTTTTTCACCCATGTCAAAATCAATTGATTTTTTTTCTTCTTTGACGGCAAATTGCAATATAAATAGACAACACTAAAATTTGACGTTGGTTCAGGAAAAAAAATTGGAACACCTACCCCCGGCGGGACTCGAACCCGCAATCTTCGGTTTAGGAGACCGACGCCTTATCCATTAGGCCACGGGGGCGTTGAAGTTTGTTGACTGCTTTTATAATACTAGTCAGTAAATTCCTACATCAAAATGTTCATTACATTATTACATTAAACTCTCCAATTCCAATGCTTATTATTATTATCCAAATAAAAAACATCACTTTATTTTTAAGCATTACTCAGTTTATTGGTCTTAACACATTTTTAGGCGGGAAATAGGCTTTCCTGAACACTACTGCCACCTGGTGACCATCAGTGCCTGACTAGTTCCTAAGGTTGAGCGCGAAGCAATATTTATGAAAGGCAAAGAAAATGCCGCTGAAGGTTGTGTATGAAATCCATTATAACAAAGATCGTAGATTAAATATGATATTATATAATCAGGTTTCGGCTCTCGGAAACTTGTACGCGCATTGGCCATTGTTACGTTTCAGGTTCGACTTTGGATTGTGTGCAGATTATTCCAACATACAGTGTACAGTTCTTTTTGAATCCTTGTTTGTAGCGTTAGTGACCCTGCTGACTACATAAAAATATCAGTGGAACGATTTTCATAGTTACACCAAAGTTGCGGATCTCCGCGTAGATCTAGGTTAAAATGCTTTTTAAGTATATAAGATTGTGAAATAAAGGTTGCTTTAATTCCTTCCTAGACTGTAGCATTTTGACCCCTTCTTGACTTCAGCCTGGCTCGGTAGGCATTGACGAAATTCAGTACTTCCTAGATCCTATTATTAAATAAATATATATTCGTAGACCCCTCCTCCCCTTTTAAAGCTGCTGGACACTACTGGCATGACTGGTCATTTTACCGGTAATGTGCTGCGTTTTAAGACGAGACTCCACAAACTCTTACTCATGTTAATGTCGTTAATATTTGATGCAATTAAATTTATTTGTTTAAAAAATTGCATTGTACACAATCACGTTTTGCTTTTTGTCACCAACTAAAAAGCGTACAACAATAGTGCATTATAAGAACAAATAAACTTTTCCCCTGTCACTGGGTTACAGGGTATACAGGACTAGCTGCCAAAATATTATCACAATTTACTTCATTATCAAGCATGTCTGAGTAAATCTAGAGACTGAGTCTAAGTGAAGTCAGAGCATTATTTGAACTTAAGTCTGTTGAATACGTGACTACGTGTTCTACTGCAGATCCAAGTACAATCCTAGAGTACTTCACATAATAAACTGTAGACAAACAAGTAACTGGTATTCACTTCCAGTTCTACACACAATAAACTAGACACATGAGGCTAAAACTAAAAAACATACATACAGTACTTCTGAAAGTAAATTGAAGTATAAATACATTACCAGTATGTAGATTTTTTTTGTCTAGAGTACCATTCATTAATACTGATACTGAAATCCTACAAAAAATCACGATCACAATATGAACATGCTGCGCTGTATTTGTAAATACATTGTATATGCATGTAGGTGTACAGTGAATATCTGCACTTATAAATTGTACTCTTTGTACATAGTTCAAATGTTTATCCACACAATGATGCAAGTTCCAAATGTGTTTCATTATTTGGTTTACATTTCATTAATTGCACTTCACCCATGATGAGATTTTTTTCAAAAAAATTGAACTTAAAATATCATATCTGATAATATTAAGTAATAATAAATACCAGTACTTGATTATCATACCAACTAAAATCAGGAAGTAAAAACTGTGACAGTAATATAGACCACATACCAACCTATATCTCAAGCAAGAACACACACGCCCCCCTCCCCCTTTTACATGATATATGCCAACAAAGTAAATAATGATAACTCCAGAAAGCTTTCAGCATAAGAAGCAGAGCCAATTTCATGATGAACACTAGTTTTCCATTATTTATTAGTTTGCCATTTTTAACTTATTTTAACATACCAAGCAATGAATGTTTTACTTCAGTAAGTATTGATAACAGTGACATAATCAGCAAACCCACCCATTATGTATGTGACCTATTATGCTCTAATTAAAAAGTTTTCTAGAGATTTCATCTGCAATGTTAAATGTTCTTTATGAAGTTCACCACTTTTTGATTTTGATAATGATGGCTGCTATGGCGCAGAGTCCCCATCCCCAGCCTATAGCCACCAGAAACCCACGCCATACCTCCATGTAGGTGATATCCCAGCCTGAAATTGCCAACGGGGAATTTTTTAAAACACATTTATTAGTTTATGAGAATTATAAATAGTATACATACTATATGTGGAGATGGCAAATTTCTTTAAGCATTATATGCTCATCTTATGATAAATTTAAAATAAAACCAATTAACTAATAAATGTATATTCATTATAGAGAAAAAAAAAAGAAAAAAGTCATATTATGATAAATACTGAAATGATAATTTTAAAAATAAGTTGATAACAGGGGGGTTGGAGTACCTGGCACATCTAAGGGTGGCTGTGAGTGGGCGAGAATCAACCTGAGGGCAGTGGAGTGGCTAGTTCAGAAATGCACATTTTATAGTAGGAAATTTGCCACTAAATACATACAGAAGGAATGAATGGGGGCTAAATTTAGATGAAAACCTGAAGGAGGAAAGCACTGAGTTACTGAAAAATACCAGAATGAATGAAGGAATGTGGGGGTGGGGAGTCTTACTGCTGTGTCTCAAGTTATAAAATTATTGGTTCATATGTTTTTGAGAAATGATTAAATAAGAGCAGCCCATGTAACTCTCTTAGAAAGTTCTCTTTATGAATGGTATTTTTTTCCTTCACATGGTGTAAATGTTTCCATTATTCTTTATACAAATATGTAATGCAGCACGGTAATACAGAAAGGCAGTTTTAAAAGCTACNCCCCCCTCTCCCCCCTCCCCCTCCCCATGCCCTGTACAGGTAAACTTCATCAACATCCTGTTTGTTAAGGCTCGACTGCTCTCTCCGCTCATATATGGATTCCTTTACACCCCTTCTGAACCAATCTTTCTTGTCATTTAGCTTCCTTTATACCGGGGCATCGCACTACACATGCTCAGCGCGGTTTACAATTTGTCGCGTGGTCATTTTTCTTTTTTTTTTTTTTTTTTTTTGTTCTGATAGAGCCAGGGAGTTGACACTCTCACCTCGCTGAGGAGGATACAGCCCAGTATGCAATATTTAGCGAGGTACTGAAAGCTAGCAAACGAACAACACCTTTCACTGTTAAGCTACCAGGCTTCTCGTGAAAACTTTACCCCTGCTTCAATCTCTGATTGCTGAGTGTCGGCTTCGCATCCTGGATCCGTCCTTGCTACTGGAATAAAATCATAACACTAACACCAAGTTGATCCAAGCTGGATTTTATTTTTTTTATTTTTATTTTTTTTATTTTTATTATTTTTTTTTTTTTTTGCTTTTCGGTGGTTTCTTTACACTTTCAATCTACGACAAAGTAGCGCTTCTCACTATCCTATTTGTTTACCCAGTTATAATTTTTATTACCAATGTCCAACTCAATCGATTTTTTTTTTTCTTTGACGGCAAATTGCAAGTTAAATAGAGAACACTTAATTTGACGTTGGGGCAAGGAAAAAAAGAGAATTCACCTACCCCCGGCGGGACTCGAACCCGCAATCTTCGGTTTAGGAGACCGACGCCTTATCCATTAGGCCACGGGGGCGTTGAAATTTGAAAGTTGCTTTTATAATACTAGGCAGTAAATACTTACATCAAAATGTTTACTTCATTATAACATTAAAATCTCCAATTCCAATACTCACTATTATTGTCCAAATAAAAAAACATCACTCAGTGTGTTGGTCTTAACACATTTTTAGGCGGGAAATAGGCTTTCCTGAACACTACTGCCACCTGGTGACCATCAGTGCCTGACTAGTTCCTAAGGTTGAGCGCGAAACATTATATATGAAAGGCAAAGAAAATGCCGCTGAAGGTTGTGTATGAAATCCCTTATAACAAAGATCGTAGATTAAATCTGATATTATTTAATCAGGTTTCGGCTCTCGGAAACTTTTACGCGCATTAATTGGCCATTGTTACGTTTTAGGTTCGACTTTGGATTGTGTGCAGATTATATACAGTACATGTTACTGTTAGTCGTTTTGAACCATTGTTTGTAGCGTTAGTGACCCTGCTGACTACATAAAAATATCAGTGGAACGATTTTCATAGTTACACCAAAGTTGCGGATCTCCGCGTAGATCTAGGTTAAAATGCTTTTTAAGTATATAAGATTGTAAAATAAAGGTTGCCTTAATTCCTTCCTAGACTACTAGTAGCATTTTGACCCCTTCTTGACTTCAGCCTGGCTCGGTAGGCATTGACGAACTTCAGTACTTCCTAGATCCTATTATTAAATAAATATATATTCGTAGACTCCTCCTCCCCTTTTAAAGCTGCTGGACACGACTGGTCATTTTACCGGTAATGTGCTGCGTTTTAGGACGAGACTCCACAAACTCTTACTCATGTTAATGTCGTTAATATTTGATACAATTAAATTTATTTGTTTAAAAAAATTGCATTGTACACAATCACGTTTTGCTTTTTGTCACCAACTAAAAAGCTTACAACAATACTGCATTATAAGAACAAATAAACTTTCCCCCTTTCCCCCGGGCGTCTCGATAGTCCGAAGGTTCATTGGTCCGAAAAGTGGTAACATTTTTATCGATTTTTTAATCAAGGGTTCATTGGTCCGAAGGTTCTATAGTGAACATTCAGACCAATGAACCTTCGGACTATTGAACCTTCGGACAATCGCTACAGCCCCCCTGTCACTGGGTTATATACAGAGTATACAGGACTAGCTGCCAAAATATTATCACGATTTACTTCATTATCAAGCATGTCTGAGTAAATCTAGAGACTGAGTTTAAGTCAAGTCAGACTATATGTATGCTGTCGTGTGCATTATTTTACTTAAGTCTGTTGAAAGGTCTGTGACTTCATGTTCTACTGCGGATCAGATATAATCCTAGTACTTTACATAATAAACTGTAGACACACAAGGTGGCATGCAGTATTAACTTCCAGTACTACACATAATAAACTGTAGACACACAAGTAACTGGTATCAACTTCCAGTAATACACACAATAAACTAGACACATGAGGCTAGAACTAAAAAACATACATACAGTACTTCTGAAAGTAACCTTAAGTATAAATACATTACCAGTATGTAGATTTTTTAGTGTAGAGTACCATTCATTAATACTGATAGTGAAATCCTACAAAAAAATCACGATCACAATTAACATGCTGCGCTGTATTTGTAAATACATTGTATATGCATGTAGGTGTACAGTGAATGTCTGCACTTATAAATAAGTCTGTATTTGTACTAAACAGCCACACAATATTCTCTCCAGCTGGCAAATATGCCCAAATTGTACTCTTTGTACATAGTTCAAATGTTTATCCACACAATGATGCAATTTCCAAATGTGTTTCATTATTTGGTTTACATTTCATTAATTGCACTTCACCCATGATGAGATTTTTTTCAAAAAAATTTGACTTTAAATATCATATCTGATAATATTAAGTAATAATAAATACCAGTACTTGATTATCATACCAACTAAAATCGGGAAATAAAAACTGTGACATTAATGTGGACCACATACCAACCTATATCTCAAGCAAGAACACACACGCCCCCATCCCCCTTTTACATGATATATGCCAAAAAAGTAAATAATAACTCCAGAAAGCTTTCAGCATAAGAAGCAGAGTCAATTTCATGATGAACAGTAGTTTTCCGTTATTTATTAGTTTGCCATTTTTAACTTATCTTAACATACCAAGCAATGAATGTTTTACTTCAGTAAGTATTGATAACAGCAACAAGTTTCGCAAGCTGACCCATTGCGTGTGTGTGATCTATTATGCTCTAATTAAGAAGTTTTGTAGAGATTTCATCTGCAATGTTAAATGTTCTTCATGAAGTTCACCACTTTTTGATTTTGATGATGATGGCTGCTATGGCGCAGAGTCCCCATCCCCAACCTATAGCCACCAGAAACCCGCGCCATACCTCCATGTAGGTGATATCCCAGCCTGAAATTACAACCAGGGAATTTTTTAAATACATTTATTAGTTTATGAGAATTATAAATAGTATGTATACTGTATGTGGAGATGGCAAATCGCTATAAGTATATGTCCTCATCTTATGATAAATCTAAAATGTAACCAATTAACTAATAAATGTATATTCATTATTGAGAAAAAAAAAGAAAAAAGTCATATTATGATAAATACTGAAATGATAATTTTAAAAATAAGTTGATTACAGGGGGGGTTGGAGGGTCTGGCACATCTGAGGGTGGCTGTGGGAGGGAGTAGACAGTGGACTGGAATCAACCTGAAGGCGGCTGTGGGAGGGAGTAGACAGTGGACTGGAATCAACCTGAGGGCGGCTGTGGGAGGGAGTAGACAGTGGACTGGAATCAACCTGAGGGCGGCTGTGGGAGGGAGTAGACAGTGGACTGGAATCAACCTGAGGGCGGCTGTGGGAGGGAGTAGACAGTGGACTGGAATCAACCTGAGGGCGGCTGTGGGAGGGAGTAGACAGTGGACTGGAATCAACCTGAGGGCGGCTGTGGGAGGGAGTAGACAGTGGACTGGAATCAACCTGAGGGCGGCTGTGGGAGGGAGTAGACAGTGGACTGGAATCAACCTGAGGGCGGCTGTGGGAGGGAGTAGACAGTGGACTGGAATCAACCTGAGGGCGGCTGTGGGAGGGAGTAGACAGTGGACTGGAATCAACCTGAGGGCGGCTGTGGGAGGGAGTAGACAGTGGACTGGAATCAACCTGAGGGCGGCTGTGGGAGGTAGTAGACAGTGGACTGGAATCAACCTGAGGGCGGCTATGGGAGGGAGTAGACAGTGGACTGGAATGAACCTGAGGGCAGCTGTGGGAGGGAGTAGACAGTGGACCGGAATCAACCTGAGGGCGGTCAAGTGGCTAGTTCAGAAATGCACATTTTATAGTAGGAAATTTGCCACTAAATACATACAGAATGAATGAATGGGGGGCTGAATTTAGATGAAAACCTGAAGGAGGAAAGCACTGAGTTACTGAAAAATACCAGAATAAATGAAGGAATGTGGGGTTGGGGAGTCTTACTGCTGTGTCTCAAGTTATTAAATTATTGGTTCATATGTTTTTGAGAAATGATTAAATAAGAGCAGCCCATGTAACTCTCTTAGAAAGTTCTCTTTATGAATGGTATTTTTTTTCCTTCACATGGTGTAAATGTTTCCATTATTCTTTATACAAAAATGTAATGCAGCACAGTAATACAGAAAGGCAGTTTTAAAAGCTTCNCAATGTGCTCNTACATGAGCCACCATCACTTCCATCACATTGACTCCTGACAGTGGAAGACAGAGAACATGACACTGAGTGTGCTGGTGGACAGGGACAGCATGATCTCTGCTACATTTACTTTTTAATTCACATAAAGAGCAGGCAATAAAATATTACAACTGAAACAGCCATTTATAAGTGATATCTATTTGTGATAAATTGTGGCAAGGCAGAAGTTATAGTATGTTTTAGAAATAATAGTAACAACTTTAAAATAATCAACAGGCTTCCTAAATATAAATTCCTGCATAAGTGAGTTAACAGGCACCCACAAACACACACACACACGCACACACACACACACACACATACAAACAAAAATGAGCATACCTGTTGTCAGACTCCTGTCCAACAGTCCTTCCTTCCTTTCCAGTACAAATGCCAAAGCTGTGAGTCCACAGGCCATGAAGAATGTAATACTGGAAAAATGAGATCACTATAACAGCAGCTGGGTGTGACATTGTGTTAGTGTGTTAGATGAGATCACAGGCCATGAAGAATGTAATACTGGAAAAGTATTATCACTATAACAGCAGCTGGGTGTGACATTGTGTTAGTGTGTTAGATGAGACACATTTAGAGAAGAGCCACTTAAATTTATGATAACTATACTTTGAAACTTTTTAACATTAAATTATCTGCCTCTCAATAATAATTATAATAAAATAATAAGTAGAAAAGTAATGAGGATTATTAACATACATATCTTGTACCAATAAACAAATGAAGATTTAGACATATAAATAAACCTCCATATCTATACTTCTATTCTAAACTATTAAAGCTGCTACCTGATGATTATCCCAGGGGCCATGAAGTTGGTAAAGGAGGGCTTCCTGTCACCATAAACTGGCTCTTCCAACTGGAAATATATATGACTGTTCAAACTGACCATATTTCCTTCATCAGACTATTTTTAGCACACACATAAAAGAACTCTCACATAACCCCATCTCAAACTTTCTCTCTGTCTCTCTCCCATTCACAGGCACACACTCTACCATGCCCCTCCCCCTCTCTCCATTCACCTCTTTCCCATTCATCTCTCTCTCTCTCTCTCTCTCTCTCTCTCTCTGTTCCTCTCTCTGTATCTTTTTCACCCTTTCCCTTACTCTCCCTCCCTTTCATCCAAACTCTCTACTCTCTATCTTAACTCCTCTCTCTTCCTCCCCCCTCTCTCTCTCTCTCTCTCTCTCTCTCTCTCTCTCTCTCTCTCTCTCTCTCTCTCTCAAAAACTAACCTTCACTGGTAAGTCTGCTGCGTGAACATTAAGTCCCAAACTCCTCAACATGTCGGTGGTGAACGCCTGGAACCCTGTCATGATCTCCTGTTGGATAGACAGGGCTATCTGCTGGTCTAAACACACAATACTAGTATATATGACATTCATAGAAAACACCAAAAAAATGTGTTTAATCCACCATCTACTTCACCTCAACATTTAGCTGACAAACATCAGGCAGGTGATTCAATATATTTCTTTATTCTGTAAAAAATGCTACATATAATTATAAATATGCAGCGTTATTTGCAGTTTTAACTGTCAATATCCCCAAATTCTCTCTTACTTGTCATATCCAGATAGAGTTTGACACTGCTGCCATCTATTGTTTTGTTGTCCACACTGCTGGTATTACTAACTCTGGAAAAACAAGACATAAGAATGTTTATTTTACATTTTTCATGGGAAACAAAGTGCTAATGTCTTCATTTTACTATGGCCAATTTAACCCCATCTTTATGTACAGCCTGTTTTTCAATGTGATACACACACATTACATACGTCAACTCAGACCATCATAACATTGGCAAACTATAACAATTACCTAAGAAAAAGATCCTGAGTGAAATTCTTGCCAACAAACACTGCCCCCCAGGCGTCTCCTTGCTTGACAGTGTTCAGAGCAGAGGTAAGATCACTATAATTGACCTGAGGAGAGAAGACACAGAATTTAGTTATAATGCTACAATGATGTTAGAAAAATGTAAAGTCAGCGTGCTCTGCCATTAATTTTGTTTTTTACTGTTATTTACAGTATTAAAATCTTGATTGTCAGATATCTTACTGATAACCACCTAAAAACAAATTCAAACATTTCACCATAAAGCTTTGACAACACAACAAACGCCAATAATTTTCTGACATTATCACTATTTGACATGTTATTATTTCTGAATCAGCTACCTTTGCAAACGTCTCATTACTCAAGTGATTGATGACCATAGCCCCACAGTTCATTCCCAGCATGCCTTGGTCTTGGTTCACTATGGCAACCGTGAGGTCACGTGGCTCTGGACCAATACACAGACAGAACAGAATGATCTGGATGGAAGGTAGCATGAACTCAAAGAATAGAAACCTGGAAAGACACATTTATAACAGTAGTGATGTGAAGGAGGATTGCTAAAATAGTCTAAAATGGTATAATTCCTGAATAGAGGCTATTCACCTGGACAGCCTCATTTCTTGATGAAGATCTTATGCTAGACATCAAAATATTGGACGTAAAAACTATGTCAATATTAAGCTGTTGACTAAAGAAAAATTACTTCATTCCTAAAATTGTCTTGTTTTAGACAAGCAAAAGGTCAATCTGAAGACGATGTCTTCCCGGACTCACCCAAGGTTTCTGCTCATGATAATCAGGTTCTTGATCACCAGGGCTAAGATGTTGGTAGGTTTAGGAAGAGAAAACCAGGACCAGCACCTGGTACAACACTTAATGCTGTGCTCTAGGTCTGGAAGTGTGAATATTTTTATACTTCCATGTGCATGTACATGTGCAGTGGTGGATTTAGAGGGGAGGGGGTCAGGTCTTGATCCCCCCTTCTGTTTCTGAAAAATATATCACACCAATATCCCCCTCTTGAAATTAGAATTTTGATTAGCTAAATCACAGTTCTAAACCGTACCAAAGGGCACTGTTTGCTCTCCACTACACCAAAAATTTTTCAGTCAGCTTTGCATCAGAAGCCTGTAGTTCCGAACCCCCCCCCCCTTCAAATAATTCTGGATCTGCCCCTGAATGTGTGTGTGCATGCATGTGTGTGTGTGCATGCATGTGTGTGTGTGCATGCATGTGTGTGTGTGTGTGCATGCATGTGTGTGTGTGTGCATGCATGTGTGTACCCACTGGATTATGTGTATGTGTACATAAAAGGCTAATAAATGGAATGTGTATTAGTGGAGAATTCACTTGTAAATGTTATGATATCAGTTATACTGTACCTACCAGTGGAATGTGTATTGGTGGAGAATTCGCCAGGCTGTAAATGTCTATAATGTTTGGAAGTTGAACTACGCTGGCTATCCTCCAACAGCTGGCTTCTGTCTCCATGGTGACGGAATTCTATACTGTACGCACTGGTCTCAGCACCCTGAACACAGACCGAAGTGTTGAAGATTAAGTCATCAGAATTTTTGTAATCTAACAACATAACTCTAGTCGAACCAGCAAGCACATTTGTCTACTGTCCACATGACTCTCAAACAAAACCATTTTCTTAGCAAACTTCTGTAAATATATTTGATAAGTAAAGTCAAACCAGTGTCAAGAGATAAAAATAAACTCTGCAGGAATATAACTTGAATACAACATGAGATTTTACATTCAAATCTACTGAAAATGAAATAAAACTAAAATGCCCTAGTGTGTTGCCCAGTTATACTGGTCAGTTACCTGAAAGACCAAGCTGTCCTCAGTGTCCACAGTGTTGTCTGTGGTGTTCAGCAGTAAGCCATCTGTAGTAACACCAGGTTCTGAAGTATCTGCCAGAGTGCTGTCTTGCTGGCAAAGCTTGAGAAACACATCTTCCAGAGTCTAGAACAACAACAGAAACACACCTTTCAGAGTCTAGAACAGCAACAAAATACAAACTTTACAAAACGAGAACCTTGTTGTTGGTTTTAGCTTGTTTAACTAGGAACTATATATAGCCTGTTTGGTCAACCCTCTGGTCACTCAGAACAGCATGGGCCAATTTGAAAATGAACTAGTCCAAAGATTAAATCTACAGATAAAGGAAAACATTATTAAACAACTGTTTCCACCAGTTAAACAATTGCTCTACTTTGAGACATCCATTTTACAAGATCAAACCAAAATCTAATGGTCAACTCCCAGTGCCTTGTGTCCTTATACTGACCTCCATTCTGTGTGTAATGAGAAGATGTTCAGGACTGGATTCAGCCAAAAGTTTTCTCTGTCGCATCAATCCCACCTGGAACACAGCTATCACTATAACTGATATCTTTATATACTTTAACAAATAGCAATATGGGCAGTTTAAAGGTACTTCATCACTACAAGTCTACCAGCCACTGGGCCTATTAATACTAGGTATATATCTGTGATCACATCTCACTCCATATACCAACATCTCACTGGATTATAACAATATTACAAGGTGTGTATATATATATATATATATATATATATATATATATATATATATATATATATATATATATATA